CTGGACTCACTCCAACCATCTACTTACAGACGCTTCAGTTTGTAGTCTGGACTCTCTACAAGATCCTGCAGCTGCTGAACATCTGACTCCTTCAGGTTGTTGCCACTCAGGTCCAGGTGTTCCAGATGTGAGGGGTTTGACTTCAGAGCCGAGACCAGGGCAGCACAGCTGATCTTTGACAAACTGCACCCAATCAATCTGGATAAAGAATAGAAAGATGTGAGCTGATCCAACAGGATGCAGGTTAGAACAGTCCAACAGAAGCAGTTAAAGAGCAATCATTAAAATTAATGCCAACATGCTGCTGCTCCAATAAAGACCTGCTGACTTCAGCAGAGAGGAGAAATCACACTCCAGACAGAAGGAAAGTAAAGGTGCATGGAGGTTTATACAGTATAAACAGTGGTTATAAAATATAAAGAAACAGGTTATGGTACAGGGTATTAAATAGTAATTGCACATTAGATATTACACAAGTTATTGCCATTGTAATGTTGCATTGTAGAGTCTGGTGGCAGCAGGAATGTATGACCTGTGGTAGCACTACTTTAGAATAAACAAATATTCTACATCTTACATCAATGTCTGTAGGTTGCAGAGGGGAGACTGGAGAAACCCACTGAGCTCCTTCATTCCAGCGTCCAGGTTGGTTCCTCTCAGGTGCAGTTCTGTCAGATGGGATGGATTAGACTTCAGAACTGAGACCAGAGAAGCCCAGCTGATCTCTGACAAACTGCAGTGCCAGAATCTGAATAAAGAATAAAATATTTTAGCTGAATTCAACAGGATGCAGATTAAAACTTTCCATTAAAACATTCCAGCAGAATATGTGACCCCGGCACGTGATAAACACTAGTCCAAGGACCATTGGTTATTTTCCTCACTGACACTGTGCTGGCCCAATCATACAGCATCACTGAACACATTCTCTCTTTGGCCAGGGTCACTGAATATAGTATAACACTGGCACGCAGCTGCTACCATGCAGAGATGGAGATAAAGCCCAGAGGAGTCGCTAGAAACTACAGGAACAAAACTCTCTATTCAAATGGCTCCAAAGGTGGAAAATGACAGTAAGGTTTGCAGGACAGGGCCTTCACTTAGTTAAATACTTTAACAAGTGGATTTTACAGGATAGAGGCCCTTTAAATAAAAAACTCCCAACAACTATTTTTATTTCGAGCTCCAAGCTGAACAGACGAAAAGCAGATTTGACCAGGTGATCTTCTTTCCCTCCTCATATTTCTCACTTCATGCTGTTCTTCTAAGTGACTGTAAATAAACTCTCACTTTCTCTGATCAGGGAGGTGATGTGAGGCAGAGCGCCATGATTTCAGCTCAAAGTTGACAGGAAGTGGCTCTTTTAGCAGCTAATTTGCACAGAGCAGCAACTTTTCTTTTCTAGCTGATGTCTAAGTGGTGAAAGTCTGTTTATTGGCCTCCAGAGGACTGGACTTTGTTCAGGAACACAGGCCCGTGACTGTAAACTAGGAGCTCCATGCAGGGACAGACTGGCAGTTTGTTTTTCCTTTAACGGGCAGAAAAGCTGCTCAGTCCAGGGATGTCGGCCTGCCTCCATCATTACACAGAAATAAAAACAACAAGAAGCAAATAACCCTGCAGCAGGAGAACAGGGCTGATTTCAGAGCAGCAGATGGTGCGTCTTTGATCACAGGAACAGAAAGAAACGGATCAATCCAGACCAAAGATAGAGATTAAACCTTAATACTGACTCAGAGCAGGAAAAATGGAAGTTACAGCTCAATCAGTTTATTTCATGTTTTGGAAATCTCTCATCATGAAAAAAAATAATCAAATGTGTTTTTAGGATCTGATCATTTGACAGATTCATTAAAATCTATTTAATCAGTTTCTGAGATTCTCTGACTTTAAAAATGTTTGTGAAAATGTTTATTGCTGAAACTAAATCTGATTATTTTTCCCTTTATCATTTTTTCATCTTACAAGTATATTGTGTATATTTTCTTTAAAGACGGGAGATAGAGGGATAGTTGACCTTCCTCATTCCCTCCTATAGAGGGCAGCAGTGCTGCTGATTTAGACACATCACCCATTTAGTATTCAGCTCTGGGGTTCATGCCCATTGAATGGCAGCTCCCTCCAGACCAACGTGGATATTTGTTATTGATGCTGTAGGATCAGCATCTAACTGTTCAGCTGTTGAGGCCAGGAGAGGGACGGCAGGAAAAGCTACAGTTGAGCTGCTCTTTGCTTCTAAGTGTTGCAGGATGAACACTGGCAGCTCCACACAATCTGTCTATGGACACTGAACATGTAGGTCTAACACAAACCAATGTGTTGCTGCTCCAGTAACCTACACTGGGAAGATCCCTGGACCCCTGTTCTCTCAGCTTCTGCAGTGATTTGCAGTATCTGCTAAGTGTTACATGGCAGATCCCATGCGCCTTCACAACTGATCTGACTGACTGGCTCTTCTTTGTGACCTCATCAGATAACTTTTTTTAAAACATCTGGAGGCAAACCTCTATCAGTCTTTCATATCCACTGCGTAGGCATTCTGTAAAATTATTAAAATATAAATGGTCTTAGTTGTATGTAACGGGATGATTGTAAGACTTTTCAAAGATGTGTTACAACCCACCCCAACCCTGTCAGCCATGTTTAGCTAGCTGTACTAGCATAGTGTTTTAAACTTAGCACAAGCAAATGCATCACATTTTGCCTGAAAAATTACTCTTTCATCTAATGTAAATAATATGCTTTTATCTGCAACAGTATAAGAACTAAACAAAATATAGTCATGGTCATAAAATTGACTTTCTCACCTCAAAATCTATTTTTTCTCCCAAGTATCTGCATGTGTCTGTTTCCAGCCTTGACAATCACAACATGGGATTGGGGTTGAAGCGTGTAAACACTGAAAAGTTCACGTGACTCGTATGTTATCCCTGATTAGTGGAACTGGTGAGGTTACAACTCTCCCTAAGTAGAATCATGCATCTGGTGGTGGCGGGGTGGGGTGGGTGGTTGTCACAACTCAAAAATGTTGAGAACCAGTGACTTAGAGGAGGGCCCCTGATCAAAGTGATGTTACTGTACTGTAATGTACTGGATGTAATGTTATTAGAATAAACAAATATTCTACATCTGACCTCAATTTCTGTAGTTTGCAGAGGGGAGACCGGAGAAACCCACTGAGCTCCTTTATTCCAGGGTCCAGGTTGGTTCCGATCAGGTCCAGTTCTGTCAGATGGGATGGATTAGACTTCAGAGCTGAGCCCAGAGAAGCCGAGCTGATCTCTGACAATCTGCTGCCATCAAATCTGAATAAAGAATACAAAATTTTAGCTGAATTCAACAGGATGCAGATTAAAACTTTCCATTAAAACATTCCAGCAGAATATGTGACCCCGGCACGTGATAAACATTAGTCCAAGGACCATTGGTTATTTTCCTCATATTAAAGTAAACAAAAAGTAAATAAGTCAGAAATAAAAAGCTGCTTAAGTTCAGTAACTAAGTATTTGTGTATCCAAGCGACTCTGAAAGCTTAGAGATTGAAGAGGATGGGTTCTCTTTGACCCGCTCCAACAGAACAGCAGCTCCAGGACAAAGATTTCATGTCTTTGTCTTTTCTTCCTAAACATTAGTTTTTAGATCATTTTATTTGATTCTAGTTATTCTAACATGTTTGTGGTTCTGGTTCTACTCTAGAGGAACCAAATGTCATTCTGGATGGAAAGATGTGAATCAGAAATGAGAAATAAAGCCATCTTATCTTGTCTCATCATCTGAATCTTTCCCAAATCAAACTGAAACATCTCCACCATTACTTAACATCATTTGGCTGATTTTCCTCCATTAGTCCAAAACATTTGAAACTTTGAACATCTGGAAAATAAAGTTTAATATTTAGAACATCTGGAGCAGGAAATTAATTCATTTACAAGGTAAAAAGTCTGAGAAATGTTATTCTGACATTTGGACAGCAGCTGTTTTTAAAGAAAATATATTAGAATAAAATGATGAATTAAAATCAGCATTAAAGTATCAGTGAATGATTTAGATTGAATAAACAGAGAAAACTCACTCCAGTTTCTTCACTTTGCAGATTGAACTCTCCAGTATCTCACTCAGATGCTTCATATCAGAGTCTCCAAAGGATCCAATGATCGTCTCTATTTCCACTTCAGTCAGATGAAGGTTGGACTTCAGAGCTGAGGCCACAACTTCACATTCAGCCTCATTGAGAAAACAGCCACCAAGTCTGTGAATAGAGGAGAATAAAGTCAGTTCTAATGAAATCAGCCAAGGTTACTGATGTCAAACCTGTGATGGTTTCTAACAAGCTTCTCCTGTAGCGTTGGAAGATGGAAGGATGTGATGATGAGGAGGATGAAGAACATCTAAACTGGGAGGATGAATGTAGCTGGAAATAATCCCAGCAGGTAGGGCTGGAAAAGCCCATATCAATATGAATTTTGATTTATTTAAAGTGAAAATCTGAGAACAAAACAGTGTCTGGAACAGGTGAAACCAATATATAATGTTGAAATCCAATGTGTTTCTGCAATACTTTCTTCCGCCACCAGATGGATCTCACACAGGAGCTGATCCACAGAAACCTTTTCTGGACAAACCATTCAATTAAATGATGAGGCTTATTAGCCTGTTAGCCTGTCACTCCCATTTAATGCTGTTTGCTGAGTAATTATTAGATCACAGGAATGGAGGATTACTGATGTTCAGTGTTTGGCTCTTCTGGCTACTAGTTCAAGATGTTCAAGGCTCATTATTTCACTAAAATAAGGTTTGGCAGCTAAAACTCTAAATGTTTTAGTATATAGTTTAAAGAAGCAGCCTAGCTCATCCCCTGGTGTTAAACGGTGGCTGTTGGGGATTATGTGGAGCTTAAGCCACTAAGGAAAGGTGAAATTGATGCCAGAGACGGATAAATCACTCTTAAAAATATGTCCTCCTCACTTCTGAGATGATGGTTATGCCCCTGGATATATGTCTCAGTATCTGGCAACCCGGTAGCCAGATACTGAGACATATATACCCACAGGCTTTTCTGTACAGCTATGGATGAATCTCTGCTTTTATTAAATTCAACTTTTTTTAAAATGAAATTACAATTTCAATACATCTTCTTTTTTTGCATTAATTTGAAGTCCACGATCAGCAGCTGTGGCCGCTTTTCTTCATGGCAGCAGCCAATTAATCCTTTAGATGGTGGCAGTCAGGGGTTCACTCTTTTTAATGTGATCTGCAATACTGCAGACTAAATGCATTGCAGTGAAACTGCCTGGTCATTTAGTCTCTGGTTCTTTTTTCAATGATTAAAACAGCTTTTTTCATTGTCCTTAAAATCATTAATTAAACGTAAAAGAAACTATAATTACAGAATAATGTTCCTTCATCAGTTTTTAAATAAAAAGGCCAGAAAAAAAAAAAAAATTACCCCGTTGAGCAAAACACTGATAAAAAACATCTCCCTATTTATCACAACCCAATGTTGGCGAGTATGTGACCGAGAATTTCCAAAGGCAGGAAGCAGTGAAAGTTCTCCCAGTAATTAGAAGAGGCTGGAATGTCTAAAGTGTTAAAGCTCATGTCTCTACAGGTCTTTATGGAGGACATCTAACAGCTTTAACAAAGGCTGCAGATGAAGTGTTGATGAGGAAAATGGTTCCAAACTCTGGAAGCAGAGTTCTCAGAGCTTTGGCAGGATCTGACAGAAACTAGGACTCAGAAAAGACATTTTCTGAAACAGACACTCATCAACACATTTTGGCTCTAATTTACAAACTCAGAGGGAAATCTGTGGCAGGAAGAAAAGATGCTTCTGGATCCCAACAACTCATCTCCCTGGCAACAGCAGCAAGGCATGTATTGATCTGAATGGTCCAAGTTTCCATCAAAGCTAAACAGTGATTTTATAAAAAACAGTCAAAGAGACTAAAAAGGTGAATTCTGGGCTAACAGTCCAATTAGTGAAGATGATCTTTAAATGTTCTGATGGTTCTCTGGCTGATTGGATCTTTAGAGAAAACAGATTTTCTACATTCTGAATGTTTTCTATTCATTTTAATGGATGATGGAAACTGATCAAAAGTGGAATATTTTGAAAATGATCTAAATCTCTAAACACCAAATGCTCCAGCAGAGCTGTCCTGAAGGAGCTGAACGTTTAGATGTTTGAATGGTTGAAATGATCCAAAGGAGAAAGGAAGGAGTTAAAGAGCAAAAATGTCCAGAAGCAACTAGAACCATGAAGAAGAACCAGAAGGACAATAGAGCTGAATCAGCATCACACCATGAAGACATCTGGACTCACCGAGCCTTTCTGCAGTTCCTCACAGCTGGAACCAGTCTAAGCCGTCCTCCGTGTGATGTGTTGTACTTCTCCAGGTCTAACTCATCCAGAACCTCTGACATCTGCAGCATGTAAGCCAGAGCTGAGCACTGGATCTCTGAGAGCTTCTCCTCTGATCTGTTCTCTGATTTCAGGAACTGTTGGATCTCCTGATAAACTGAGAGGTCCTTCATCTCCATCAGACACTGGAAGATGTTGATACTTCTATCAGGAGAGACTCCACCAGTGTTCATCTCCTTCAGATTGTTGATGACTCTCTGGATGGTTCCTGGACTGTTCTCCATCTGACCCAGCAGGCCCCCTAAGAGGCTCTGGTTGGACTCCACAGAGAGGCCATGAAGGAAGCGAGCAAACAGGTCCAGGTGGCCATTTGGACTCCTGAGGGATTTCTCCATGACTTTTTTCATGAAGTCCTCCAGAGATGTTTCTCTGTGTTGTCCTCCCAGCAAGTTCTCCACCACCTCTGTGTTCCTGCTGGTGAAGCAGTGGAGCATGTAGACTGCAGCCAGAAACTCCTGGATGCTCAGATGAACAAAGCAGTAGACTAGTTTCTGGAAGATCACTGTACAAATTCCTGAGTACACAGAGGCCTCTGTGACATCCAGACCACACTGCTCCAGGTCCTCTTGGTAGAACATGATGTTTCCTTTCTCCAGA